CTTACTTGAAATAATATCACCAGAGAAAGAATTTAGAAAAATGTGCAGTTTATAGAATTTTATTTCTGATAGAATTTTATAAATTTAGTATTAGTGGGATGTCTAAATAATGGATGTTTTAGCTTCATAACACTGTTATTGGGTAATTCTTCAACGGGGATGTAACTAATACTAAATGAATTTCTACTTTAATTTGTGTGCTGTACCTTTATGATCCAATGATATCAATAAATGAATTAATTGTAATTAGTTATTCTGATTCAGCTCTATAAATTTAGGTCAGTTTATGTATCGAAATGGATTAAATTTTGACACTTCTTTAAACCTAAAATAAGTGACTTCTAGCAGGTTTGCGTTCACCAAATCTCTTCGAACAACGCAGAATTTCGTGTTCGCACCGTCGGAACTGTCAGATAGTAATCAAAGAAGCTCTATCACGCGACTATGTCTATAATATTGCAATTATAAAAGGTTGGAATAGCTTAGACGCTGGAGTAACGGTATAAGATAAAAATTTTAAAAATATGGAGGAAAAAAATAGAAGAGTTTACTGAAGGAACAACGAAATATCAATTGACCTGCATACTCCATTTATTAGTCTGTATACTAATGTATTAGTATTGACTGTCTAATATTAATCTAGTTTTGTCAATATGACGCTAAAGCGCGTGGGAATGACAGCCGAATTATTAAACTTTTGCAACTGGGATTTATAGCTTACTAAACTATCACGCGCACAAGATTTGTCCAAAAATTGCTATTATTTGTTACGTGACTACAATTACAAAGGACTGGATACGTTCGCAATCATATCAGATAGGCATTGTTGGATCGCTCCCCTGCACCCTTTGAAGGAAAACTAGGAAAAAGTTCTGAATCCTTTGGCAACGGGCTTTCCCTATCAAAACATGCAATACGCGTTTAGTATGGAGTATTTGATGGTATAAAGCTTACTCTACTTACATGAAATATGGATGTTTTAATGCTTTTTCTGCAGTAATTCGCTTGGCTGGATCATATGTGAGCAATTTCGACATTAGGTCGATCCCATTCTCGGTCAAATATGGAAACCGACTTCTTAGAGTGCTGTGACTGGTAGAGCAAAGCCAGTTAGCAATCAATGACTAACCCAGATGAAATCAGACGTAATATAATTGTATCAGTTGCCTTTGCTTGACAAACGTAATATTTTTGGCATTTGGTAATTTGGAGAAACCAGGCCATATTTTTTCATTAGGCATCCCTAGTAACCTGAATATCTATAAATATAAATGACGGTATGAATAAATATCGCAACAAACACATCGTATCATCGCATGTCATCATATATGTTAGCTATCAACCTTGTCTAATTGATCGATTTCAGTTCTACCAGGCAACACAGGTTCTTTATTGACCAACTCTCCGAATATGCAACCAACTGACCACATGTCAATTGCAGTCGAATACGTCTTTGACCCGAGCAACAATTCGGGTGCCCTAAACACAAATTAAAAAATATAAAATATAGTCATAATTGCTGGGCTCGCAGACAAAATAAAGTTCCCAAATATTCGGGCAATCATACCTATACCATAAAGTAACAACAACATCAGTCATGGGACCAAGAGGACTGCCGTATGATCTCGCAAGACCGAAATCTGCGACCTTAATTTGCCCTCGATTATTCAAAAGCAGATTCGATGTTTTCAGATCACGATGAATAATCCAATTGTCATGTAAAGTAGCAACAGCAGACAACAGTTGAATCATTATAGTTTTGACTTCAGATTGTAGAAAAGGGCTTTGCATATCTTCCATCAAACTTTTCAAATCATGCTCAACAAAGTCCATTACAATAAATATTCTCAGATCATAGAATAGGTACAGTGCTCAATTAATTAGCGGTAAAAATTTTTTTTTGTTACAAGGCGGAGGTAGAAGACAATGAGTCATACTTACTGCGTCAAAGTCTCTCCAACCACAATCTCACGAACGTTCACAATGTTAGGGTGTTTTGCTTGTAGTAGTGTCTTCACTTCTCTCAAAGAAGTTATCGGAAATCCATTCTTTTCCTTGTCTAATTTTAATTTTTTCAATGCCACTATTTCTCCTGTAGCTCTATCTCTTGCTCGATATACCACGCCATAGGCACCCTCTTCTATCCTATTCAGTTTCTCATAATTATCTACACTGCGACAGCCAGTAAGTATTGGTGGCTTTGGTTTTCGGGGCATTACAGCTTTTTCGCTGGCCGACTGATCCGCTTGATCTCGCTGAGGTACAGGCGATTCTTCCATGGTTTCTGTGGCATTCTCGAATGCAGGCGGCGTGCTTGTGTTCAGTGCAGGAGATTGAGAAACTTCAAGTGTTTGAGTTTCATCAACTGTTTGCTTTTTTTTCTGGTTAGCCTCGTCAGCATCGCTGAGAGTACTAGCTTCCTCTTCGTTTTCAACTTTTGTTTTTTTAGATCCGCGTTTTTTCTTCCCTGCCTTGCGCTGTACTCCAGCATCTTCATTTTCGCTTTCTGACTCCCATTTAGATCTCTTACTTTTTGTTTTAACTGGTAAAGGCGATCCTGCTATAGGCAGCTGTGCTTGCTCAACGTTTCCAGACGGCGTTTCTTCCATTAATCACACAAGGCATTGCAAGTTCTTGTAAAATAAAGTTTGGTTTTTAATGTGACATCATCGTGGGCTGTGTAACATAAATATGAAAACGTTTCTGACTCGCCAAACTGATTTTGACGTTTTTTTTTGCCCGCAACTTCTTAGAGATCTAGAGCGCACAAGATGATGCAACCGTCTCTCGATAATTCGTCGGAACCAGTAACAACAGACTTTTGGGCTCACAAAAGTGCTCTAGAGAAAGTAGGTTGACTTACTGTTAGTGGGTAACATTTGGTGTCATCATTCATGTTTACCATCATGTGATGTAAGAAAGTAAAGGTACTGACAGCTAAAGAATGCCTGTACCTTTTACGCTAATCGTTCCGTATATGAGAATTTGTTGTTACGTTAGGAACACCTTGATGACATTCTCGACATAATTAGAAATGTCGCTTTTGCAAGGTGTATTATTAACCTTGGTCATTTTTAAATTAGAGATTTCAAAAATTTCTCGACGAAGCAACACCATATTCCACATATCGATGGACTGCAACAGTTGCACTTTTACTTGTGTTTATGATTAGAATTTTTACAATTCAAGGATTTTATATTGTCACATATGTAAGTATTAGAGATGAGTCAAAGTCACATGGAGAATGTTTGCTAACAGACACATGTTTTTTTATATATACAGGCATTAGGCATTTATTTACTTAATCTCTTCCTCGCTTTCCTGCAACCAAAATTTGATCCGTCATTGGAGATGGATATTGAAGAAACTGAGGCCGAAGATGGTCCAACACTGCCGACAAAAGCGAACGAAGAGTTCCGACCGTTCATCCGACGTTTACCGGAATTCAAATTTTGGTGAGCTTGTGACAGTGTATTATGTAAACACGTGTGCGTATTCTGACAAGTATCATGATTCTATTAGGTATTCTGCAACCAAGGCCACGATCATATCATTGATTGCGACCATGTTTAAGATATTTGACATTCCCGTCTTTTGGCCAATACTGCTCATGTATTTCTTGATTCTCTTTGCTATCACAATGAAGCGACAAATTAAGCATATGATGAAATATGGGTGAGCATTCTGCTGCAAGTTGAGTCGGATTTGTAGCAATTCATCGATGCGTATCACTAATCTGTTCATTGTTCGAATTCAAGGTATATCCCATTTGACATTGGCAAGCAAAAATATGGCGGCAAAAAGTAATGAGTACTGCCTACGGTCAATATATAAAGAATATTATTTACTTCCCCCACCTAATACTTATCGCAAGGGGTTTGATGTGTAGTTACTGATCGTATTTTAATAGTCGATATAGAATATTCTTAAACTCAAAGGTAGACATATAATTATTGATTATTCATAAAGTTACTTCGCGTTTGCGGCTACGTCAACGTACATATCAAATCGGCGCTGCATGGACACTGGTATAGATTGGCGAACAGTTTGCAATTGTTGTAGGTCTAATATTATGGCGAAAAAGGTGAAGTAATTAGTAGAAAAGAGGTCTCAGTTTCAGCATATCAATTGTCAATCCATTCCGAAGATGGGGATATCTTACCAATATCTGCATATACTATTGCCTCCTCATGTTCCGTTGTAGCAATGATTTGTCCACTTAGTAAAACACAGTGTGAAATTTGCATGTTATAATGTATTAACTATGTATGAAAGAAAATAGAACATTAAAAGACGCCAATACCTTGGATCTACGACAGTTGAATGACCCCATGCATTGTATGTCGCATCCATATCACGTGCAGGAGAACAAGTTGCTACGAACAACTGTCCAAAAAAATAAAACAGAGGTTTTGTTAGGCGAATTACATTGCTGACAGGACACTCAAAGCTCCCTGTATTTTACCTGATTATCGACTGCCCTGGCTCGTTGCAGTACTAGTTAAAATGGACCACGGTCAATTAGCTATTATGCTTCAAACGCGTGAAAGTCACAAGACATGTATACTCACATTCCCAATGCAAAGGCCCAGTTGTCATATTGAATGCCCCAGGATAAATCATCATAACACAACCTAGAAACATGCCTCAATATTCAACACATTGACGGATTTTAAAAACAATAACTGTATGATAAAAGCACCATACCTTTACGCGCAGCAATCATTGCGAGTTCTGGAAATCTCATATCGTAGCAAATACCTATACTCATTTTACCATAACCTATCGTGACGTGCGCGCGCATCGTATTAGTTTCTGATGTTATGACTAGTCTCATTTTATCGTCATAGCCCACTCACCGGTATCAAAAGTCGTCAAAGAGTTTCCTGGACTCAATATGTCGCTCTCTTGGAACCTGATTTTACCGGGAATATCGATATCAAATAGATGTATCTTTCGATGCTTGGCAATCAATTCTCCTATTAAAATCCGAGCAAATTGCTTAGACTTTACATGAATTACGATGCATAGTATGTATATATTCATGTGTATATATATATACGTGCCTTGAGGATTATACACAGTGCATGTGTTGTATAATTTGCCGGATTCCTTGTCTCGTTCCGGAATGGAACCTTTGCGTGGAATACGTGGATGAATATCAGAAATAAAACATGATCCATTTCCGTTACTCACCCCCTACAAGAAGAACTTTGGCTTCCTTATATCGATATAAGAATTATTATTAACCCAGTTGTCATGATTGTCGCATACATTGGCTGGTAGACTTACTTTTGCCGCTTCGGATAGTACAGTGACACTTTCTCCTTCGGGAATACTCTCTGCATGCTCAGCAAAGTATTGTGTTCCGTACGGAGAGTTAAAACATTCCTGACTTGCGTAAAGTCGCAGACGATCAATAGCAATCGAACTAGGTGGTTTTCTACTTTAATATTAACACTCACGGGCAGGACTACAACGTTGGCCCCTTCCCGAGCCGCTTCCAATATTTTACCCTTTGCACGATCGAGGTTGGTCCTTTTATTAAAACCAACAGCAAGTTGTATACAAGCTATCTTAAACGAATTTGATGACATTGTTGTCATAGGTCTACTAAACGTGAAAGGACGCTGCAACAAAGACCTCAAACTTGTCTTGGTCCCGATTAAGCGGAATAGCATTCTGATCACCCACTACTAACTGACAATACCCCAGATTATCTTCATCACATTCAAGTAACACAAATCATATGCAAAAACGTTTACTTCGTGTCAGATAATTCAAGCGAAAGCTATATACAAGACACTTTACTGCATTTAGTACTATTCAATCTAAGTTATGATAAAGACTATTAGTGATTTGACAATTTAAAGCTTCCAAGAAGCAACCCTCCTATTTCTTCTCATGTTT